GAACACAATATGGTCATATAAGTGCCAAAGAGTAGAGGTGTTACAAGAGTGAGTAACAAACACAAAAAAGAAGGATGAGAGATCAGAGTGATAGATGTTTGATAGGAAAAAAGGAGCAAACCACGCCAGAGCACCGACCAACCACCCACAACATTAGACAAGACACCAGCAGGTAATTTTTAGGACCAATATAAAACACTCTATGGAACATTACAGAAAGTAAAGAAAACTTGCGCTTAACACTACATGGCACTGGACAGAAGGGTAAGGGTTGCTGGATCGATAACAACAATTAACGACCAATATATAACCTGTACCACACACTTTTCAAAAGCAACAAAACAGCAAAATGGGCAGGGCTATAACAGAGCACAAACTACAACATAACCAATCATCTGTCAGCTGAGGGAATAACAAACTACAACATAACCAATCATCTGTCAGCTGAGGGAATAACAAACTACAACATCACCAATCATCTGTCAGCTGAGGGAATAACAAAGCACAAACTACAACATAACCAATCATCTGCCAGCTGAGGGAATAACAAACTACAACATAACCAATCATCTGCCAGCTGTTCACATGTACCATGCCCAAAATTTTGATTAAAAAAAAAAATTGCTGTTTCTTTATCTGTGGTATCAGTCGCATGTACTCCAGAAATATTTGATTCAGATTCAAATTCTAAATCTTGAAAAAAGTCAGATTTGAGACATTTAGGTACTTTTGCAAAAATAAGTTGTGTACATTTTTTTCTCTTTTTTGTTTTTAGCTTTAGTAGAGGTTTTACGGCGCTTGCAACTGCATAAGGTCATATGAGCGCCAGAAGATTAGAGGTGTTACAAGAGAGTAACAAACATAAAAAAGAAGTAGGGGAGATAAGGACGATAGATGTTTCATAGGAAAGAAGAAGCAAACCACACCAGAGCACCCGCCAACCACCCACACATTTTTTTCTCTTAAATGCAGATGATCATACATATTTTTTAAAAAAGAAGGAGCAAACCACTTGGTAAGAGTTTCAAGGCACTTGCAACACAATTAGATCATAATAAGTGCTAAAGGTTAAAGGTGTTACTTGAGAGTAACATACAAAGAAAAGAAAGCGGAGAGATGAGGACCATCGATGTTTGATAGGAAAGAAGGCGCAAACCACAGCAGAGCACCCGCCGACCACCCACGCACGTACTTAGCACAACGTCCTTCTGCGGCGAGTAGTCCACGGCCAGACCATTCGGGTACGAGTCGTTCTTGTCGTCTGTCAGCGGCAGCTCAGCCCTTGAGCAGTCCTCCAGGTTCCAGTGCTCCCAGTTCACCTGAGGCGAGCCAGTCAACCAATCAACAAAAACATCACCTGCTAACCACCCATTAAGTGCCTTTAGTTTAGAGAAACTGAGTTTTTATTTCAAGACCACAACAGCAGGAAGAACAAACTGTTTCTGTTTTAGTAAAGGTTTTACGGCGCTCGCAACTGCATACGGTCAAATGAGCGCCAGAAGTTTAGAGGTGTTACAAGAGAGTAACAAACATAAAAAAGAAGGAGGGGGAGATAAGGATGATAGATGTTTGATAGGAAAGAAGGAGCAAACCGCACCAGAGCACCCGCCAACCACCCACGAAGAACAAATAAACAAGGCTCTGTTTAGTTAAAGTAAGAGTTTTACAGCACTTGCGATACAATAAGGTCATACAAGTGCTGAAGATTAGAGGTGTTACAAGAGAGTAACAAACACAAAAAAGAAGGGGAGATAAGGACAATACATATTTGATGGGAAAGAAGGAGCAAACCACACCAGAGCACAAACCAACCACCCACAATTTTAAACAAGGTTCTCCTACACTAATACAGAGGTAAAAAGATAAAACACAAAAAAGAAGGAGAGATAAGGACGATACAGAGGTGAAAAGATTAATGTTTTTATGCATTCTGGATTCAGAAAATAATAGGGTAACACCAAGAAAGTCACAACTGCAAATTTATTTTTATTCCCAAAAGAAAAATCAAATCCATAGATAAATTAAATCTTTTGAAGCCAAATTTTAAAAAATTATTAAAAAACAAAAAAATTTGAACAAATTACTTCCATAATTTCCAATTAACGAGCAAAACCATATAAAAAAAGTCACACCTTGTCATCCAGATTTTTACCAACAACAGTGGTTTCCGTGGCATTGCTTGATGCCATAAGAATCATTTCCCTGGGGGAGACAGACAATATATATAAACAAAAACAAAAGCACACACACAGATATATGTATATATATATAAAATGAACTATGAGTAAAATGAACATCAATTTATTCATTACAATTAACAACAAAAGGCATTGGTTTCAGTTTAATTTAGAGTTTTACGGCACTTACAACACAATCAAGTCATATAAGTGCCGATGGCATTAGTTTCCCTTTGTCAAATATTCATACTATCTGTGTAAACTTCAAGGAACATATGGTCGCTTTTAAGCTCAAGGGGGCTATCCCGAAAAATGCTGTTTTGAGAAAATCCAAGGTAAAATTTTTGCCCCTTGTTCAGTTTCTTTAAAAGACAAGGAGAGTTTTCTCTCTAACCAAACAAATATACACACCAACGAAACCAAACTTCTCCTATAGGTAGGTACATATCCACTTTTGGTGTAGGTAAAGATTTCTGGAAACCCCCGAAATCTGGGTTAGCCCGCTTGTCCTTAAAAGCGACCAAATATATATACAGTCGAACCTGCTCTAATGGCCACCAGTACAAAACAATCACTTGCACAAATGGCCACTTTCAATACCTCCCCCCGCATTTTTTAAAACATTTTATTGACATCGTGACAGACTGCCACTTTTCCCCTCGACAACCGGTGCCCATTTTGGACAATTTCACCTGTATGTCCTTTAGTCTGTAACAGTCTATAGAAAGATTTAAACAGCTCCTCAAAGTAACAGCATTCTACTAACACAGTAACAGCAACACATTTCACCCCACCACTTCTAATGCTCAAAAGGAAGTCTGTAACAGTCTATAAAAAAGCTTTAACAGCTTACGAGTCAAGTGTTCTGAAAGTGATAGCATAACTCCAAGCCAGTAACAACAACACAAGTCACTCATAACTCCTGAACAAAGTTTGTATCATTCTATCAAAAAGGCCTTAACCCCTTCACTGCCGGCTATGAGCTACATAGCCTTGCCGAGGAAAATTGCTCCAATTACTTTTACTACAAGCGTCACATACAGCCCCTAACTCAGAAACTCAATTGAAATCATTATCATCACTGTTACAGTCATTCATAATTTCGTCTAGAACTTCTGCAGCTCAAAAGGAAGGTTGATAGACTGGTCTGTAGGATGCCATTGCAAAAAGCAAAAAAAAACCAAAAACTCGTAAACACAACTCAGAACGTCAACACTTCACTTCTTCAAAACAATGAAAATGACGCTCAGATTCACGGGAGACTACTGTATTATCAATGAGGATAAGTCATGACACAGTTTTGTCCCTTTAAACAGTGGAAAATTACCCTAAAAATGACTTCATCATTGGCCCACCGAATCAGCGGGCACATGGCACAGGGAAGCACTTCTTGGCCTGCATGGGACAGTGAAGGGGTTAACAACTTACTCCTGGCCGGGGCAGTGAAGGGGTTAACAACTTACTCCTGGCCGGGGCAGTGAAGGGGTTAACAACTTACTCCTGGCCGGGGCAGTGAAGGGGTTAACAACTTACTCCTGGCTGGGGCAGTGAAGGGGTTAACAACTTACTCCTGGCCGGGGCAGTGAAGGGGTTAACAACTTACAGGTAAAGTGTTCTGAAAGTGATAGCAATAATCCAAGACAGTCACAACAACATATTTCTATCACCATTTTCGAATGAACTAAATAAGTCTGTGACACTCTACATTTACTTTACTTTTCCGATCCACCGGGTCTAGCCCTTCGGCCTGGAACACACTATAAAAAGGCCTCAACAGCTTATGAGTCATACATTCAGAAAGTAATAGCGTAACTCCAACACAGTCACAACAATAGATTTCACTTACCACTTCTGGACAAAGTGGAAAAAGTATTTCGGTTTTCTCGATTCACCATTCCCATAGCAAACATCTTCAAAGTTTATGTACGTGGTATTATTCTCCTTCTGCAAAAGACAAAAAGAAGAAGGAAAAAAAATGAATTCATAACTGTCACCTCTAGTCAGTCCCCCACTCCCACTGTCCCCTGCATCTTTCCCTGCCACAACAACCACCACCAGCAAAATCATAAATCATAAAATTATATTTTTTCTGAGATACTGTGCACCAGCCTCTACGAACGCCCACACAATTTCAACAAACCATTCAGCCTGCACTATCCTTCTAAATATCTCATTCTAAATCTTGTCAACTTTAGTAACCCCCACTGACATAAGAGGCACAAGATCTTGTCAGTTATTCCTTTTTGCGCAAGTTATCTGCAGCTTGCACTGTCAGCTTCCCAGGAAGCCCGTTTCTGAATTATATTCTACGGTCTGCTGGGGTATTAATAGTTGTAAAGCACTTAGAGCATGCTGTAGAGCATGAATATGCACTATACTGTATCAATACAATTATTATTGTCGTTATTATTATTATTGCAATCATTATAAGGAACAAACTGTACCAGAGTCAATGGGACAGACCAAGAAAATAATTTACAAAAATCAGAGAACTTTGACAAAAAGAAGACAGGGGCACAGTAGCGTAAACAAATGGCTTTTTTTTGGGGGGGGGGGGTTCGCTCAAAAACATACAACAAGCAGTATACAACATACGTTTGAGGAAGTCATCACCACAGATGGCTGATCTGCGGGTGGCGCTCCTGCCTGGAGAAATGCAGCCATGAAAACGTATGTCGATTGCCACACCACATCCACGGCTGAGAAACGAAAAAAAAAAAAAAAATTTTTTATCCACAATCCCATTACTGCAAGCTTTTGAAAACTAAAGATAAAAAACCAGACTTTACCCATGCAGCAGGTCAAGATGGTGGGCACTGGACAAGCCCTCCAAACCCTTCACGCACACTTTTCTTTTGTGATTTCAATAAATTCAGGCTATTCAAAATAGACCTGCAGCAAAAGATTTCTCCAACAGACTTATGGGCTTCATTTCCTTTTTTAATTTACAAATCAACAGACTTATGGGCTTCATTTCCTTTTTTAATTTACAAATCAACAGACTTATGGGCTTCATTTCCTTTTTTAATTTACAAATCAACAGACTTATGGGCTTCATTTCCTTTTTTAATTTACAAATCAACAGACTTATGGGCTTCATTTCCTTTTTTAATTTACAAATCAACAGACTTATGGGCTTCATTTCCTTTTTTAATTTACAAATCAACAGACTTATGGGCTTCATTTCCTTTTTTAATTTACAAATCAAGTTCTTGAAAGTTCATAATTTTTTTTTCAGAATCCGCCAGTCCACAAGGAACAATACTTTAAAACAACGAACATACATTATCCAATACTAAAGTAGAGTTCCCTACTCCAGCCCTAAACATACATTACATACATTACTTTTTATATTCTGGTTGGCAGCTACATACACCCCGCAGGCACACACTACACTGACCGAGCAGCAACTGCTTTTCAAAAATGGACTGGATGTCAGTGGTCTCGTGATTAGGCTCTCAGACTCTAAACCACAAGGTCGCACGTTCAAATCCTGCCAGCGGCAATCACTTTTTTGGCTCAACACCTTTATGTCCATTTTTTTAAAAACACTCCTGTATGGATTTCATTCTAAAAACATTCAATTATGACATACAAAATGTAAATGTGTCAAAATGCTGTGGAAATAGGCGCTTGTCAATTTTTGGTCATGTGGAGTTATTGGTGTTATGTGAAAGCTGATTTATTTGCCTTGAAGATATTTTGTGATAGAAGGAAGAGAGGATGCCTGGCTTCAGTAGTGAGAAAATGGTCGCCAAAGTTTGGTAACTACAATAGCTAAAGAGTCTTTGAAAACTGAAAAATGACATATTTGGTTCCTTTAATCAATGTTTTTCAGTAAAATTTCAAATGGAAATAAAAAATAAAAATTCAATTCAACTTTCCAAACTGGAGGTAAAATGACTGTTTCTCTGATTTCTTTATTTTGACGAGCGCCAGATTTCACCATGCTGATACACAAATATGCAGTTTCTAAGGACACCCAAACTTTGGAATTCACCAAACTTTGGGAGCCATTTTCTTGATAATTTTCATTCTGACACCAGGAGAACCAACCCATCTCCTTCAATCTCAAGTAACTCAACTTCTATTCAAAATAGTTTGGTGTCTTTTTCATCAAAAGCTAGAAAAGTAAACAAGCTGCAAGATGAAACCAATAACTTTATGCACCTAAACATTGGCGAGTGCCTGATTCCACCGTGTCACGACACATATATGAAGCGTGCTGACAAAATGAGTTACTTCTCGGATCCAAGCCTCATGGAAATAGATGCATCACGCTATTAGGTGCAGTTTTTACATTTTATAAGTATGGAATAATAAAAGGTACGTTATACAAAAAGAATGTGGCATCAATAGAAAATCTACTAATCTGACCCTATAGTGTGGACTTTTGGCCAATATTTCCGTTTGTGGATTGCGAGAAGTAACTTATTTTGTCGGCACACTTCACATATTTTCCCTGACAGAGATACCGACACCCAAACTTTACCTGCATGAGGTCCGTTCAGAACGTTGGGACACGGCCACTGCCTTTTCTCCACCATGATGTGGTCGTACTGAGTGAAGCTGCCGTCTTTTTTCCCTACAAGGAGTTGCTTGCCTTTGGGACTCCAGCAGACTAATAAAAAAAACATAAATGGGAGAAAAAAAAGGAGAAATAAAAAAATGTCAGCAAATATTTTTCTATTGTCCCTTCAAACAAAACATTATTGGGAGAAGAAAAAAAAGGAGAACAGACGTAAATATTCCATCTTGAAAGAAAGCCAAACCAATCAATTTTCTTCTTTAATTTAGTTTAGGAAGTTTTACAGCAATTACAACACAAACAGGTCATATGAGTGCTGATGATTAAATGTGCTGCAAAAGAGTAACATACAAAAGAAAGAAGTAGAAGAGATAAAGATAACAGATGTCTGATATAAATGAATGGGCAAACCACACCAAAGCACCCGCCAACCATCTACAAATATTTTGTATTATTCCTTTAAAACGCTTATGATTTCTTAAACAAGGGGCTGTGTATGTGTGTGAAATGAGACAATATCAATTCCCTTAATCCTTAAAAAAGTCAAATCTACCGTCCACATCTTCTTTTTTTTTTTTTTTTTTTTTAATAGTAGAGGGTTTTACGGCGCTCGCAACTGCATAAGGTCATATGAGCGCCAAGGGGTGGGTGTCAACAGAGAAGTCCTAACAGGGAATCAGACTTAGACTGCTCACCTCTCTAGCTTCAACAGCACAAGGTCTGCTTCGACTATCAAGGCACCCCAAAATAGCAGGTCACAAGAGAGTGACAAACATACAAAAGAAGTTGAGGAAAATGACAATAGTAAGGATTACGAAAGAAAAAGCAGCAGTTCCCTGTTTTAGATCAGGCACAGGTATGAGCGTGACATGATGAATCAGCCCATTTACAATTCTACTGTGCTTGAACAAGAAATGTCCCCCCTTTGGGAATGGCCTAAAGACACTGCAGTCAGTGGCACTGCCCCGGGGGGGGGGGGGGGGGGGTCTTCTATCTCCATGGTCAACGCAAGCCTGACATACATTGTAACACTGACACAGCATGAGCAGAACAGACACAGGACTACAAATTAACCAACCTTCCCCCCAAAAAACACAAACAAACAAAACAATAAACAAACCGATTATGAGAATGACGTAACACCAGCCAACACTTAGAGCAAGGCGGGTGGTTGGCGGGTGCTCTAGTGTGGTTTGCTCCTTTTTTCCTATAAAATATATATCATTCTTATCTCTCCTTTTCTTCGTACATTATTTTACTCTCTAGTACCATTTTTGATCCTCGGCACTTATGTATGTACTAATAGTGTTACAAGCTCTGATATACTCTTACTAAAACTAAAACTAAATTCCATAAACCTCTTACTATAACTATAACTAAATCTAAGTTCCATAAAATTCTTACTAAAGCTAAAACAGAGTTCCATTAAAACTTATTAAAACTAAGTTCCATGAAACTCTTACTAAAATTAAAACTCAGTTCTGTACAACTTACAAAAACTAAAACAAACTTCCATAAAACTTCATCATCATCCAGTGCCAGATCTGCGACAGACATCGGCGATCATGATTTTCCATTCATTCCTTTGCTCGGATGCTCTCAGAAAAGCTACGTTTCCCTGATCTTTCCCTGTTACCCATAAAACTTACTAAAACTAAAACTAGAGTTCCATGAAATTCTAACTAAAACTTAAAACTACAAAAAAAAGCCAACAAAGCAACTTACAGCAAGTAGCGGCCACAGTGGAGGGCAACGAGGCGACAAGCACCGCCCTCTCCTTCACCTCCAGCAGCTGGACAGAGCCATCAGAGAGGCACAGGGAGAGCAGGTTGAAGAAGGCGGGGTTCCAGGCCGAGTCCACCACGCAGGCTGAGGGGGCGGCCTGCAGGCGAGTCTGCGTGAACGGCCCCGGGATGGCACAGTTCTGAAGGAAGATGATCGAGCATGTTCAACCCTATCCGTACGCCCTGGGGTCATTTTGTACCCCCCGGGTTGTATTCTTCACATTTTAGAATACTTCTAGAGTGAAGATCTCTTTGAAACTTTTTGTATTTCTCTAAATATCATTTTGACAGACTGCTATGTAAAGTGTATAGTGTGACAGACAGCTATGTTATGTAAAGCGTATTGATCGGATTAATGAGTAAATTTCCTCTTTGGAAAGTGGTGGCACAGAGTTCCCCACGTCGTATGGATACGATAGTAAAACATGAAGTTCGGATAGGGTTAAGTAAGAGTTTTACAGCACTTGCAAAACAATTAGGTCATATACAAGTGAGTGAATCAAATGAGGTAGTGCTTGATGAAGCCCACGAGGGACGCTCACTGTTTTTGGACACCTGAGTAGACATAAACGTCTTGAACATCTAGCTCTCAATGGAAAAATTGAAGGTAAATGAGGCAGGCGAAGGCCTAGACTAGAGCAACCTACTTAGGGAACCTAAACAAATGGGTAACGAGGAAAGATCAGGGAAAAATAGCTTTTATAAGAGCATCCGAACAAAGGAATGAATAGAGAACCATGATTGCCGACATCTGTCGCAGACCTGGTCCTTGATGATGACGATGATAAGTAAGTGATGAAGATTAGTAGAACAGCTCTGAAGACAGATGACGAAGCTTATATTTTATAAAGAGTTTTACAGCACTTCCAACACAAACAGGTCATGTAAGTGCCAAAGATTAGAGGTGATACCAACGAGTCACACAAACAAAAGAGGGGAGAGAGAAGGAGAACAGATATTTCATGGGAAAGAAGGAATAAACCACACCAGAGCGCCTGCCAACCACCCACTACAGAGCTTTATAAATGACAGTAGACTGCTCAAAATGGACTGCTTGTCTTTTATCCATGACAAAATCCTGAAAGACTTTTTCGCAGAAAAAGTACGCACCACCAGAAGAGATAGAAGGCCTAAGAATCTTGTTTGAAGATCTTAAGTAAAAAAGCAGAGACCTACAGAGGCACGAAAGAAGGTGTACCAGGAGAAAAGAGAGAAAAAGGGAATGTGAACAATTTCTGAAGAATCCTTATGAAGCAGCCAAAAAACTGTTCACAGAGGCACGGAGTGGTAAATTGGAATGTACGAAAGAGGAACTCGATGCTTATGTTAAGCAGACGTACAGCGATTCAAGAAGAGAAGAACCGCTTCCTTATATGAGAGGCCTGAAGCGTCCAGCTGCCCCCGTCGTCAAATATTACCTGGGACCAATTAGAGAGAAAGAAGTAGATGAGTTCGTAAAAAAAGCAAGAGCAAAAAGTGCACCTGGAGGAGATGGCGTGTCTTATAAGGTGTTCAAGTATTGCGACACGCTGAGACACACCCTCTTTGAGATGCTAAGAGGCCTTTGGAAAGACAAAGAAATCGTCAAAGATTGGTGCAAAGCGGAGGGCGTGTATCTACCCAAAGAACAGAATGCAAAGGAGATAGGACAGTTCAGACCTATTTCAATCATCAACGTGACGTACAAGATCTTTATGGGAATACTTGCAAAGAGGACTGTAGCATATTTGCAAAGTAACGGCTATGTGGATGAAACGGTACAGAAAGCCGGGGTACCAGGGATCCCAGGCTGCATCGAGCATGCTTTCACCATTTGGGACACAATCCAAGAGGCCAAGAAAAACAAGGAAAGTTTAAACGTAGTGTGGTTGGATCTGGCGAATGCCTATGGGTCTGTTCCCCATAAATTGCTGATGAAGGCAATGGATTTTTTCTACGTCCCACAAGAGGTGCAAAACATTATGAGAGAATACTATAGTAACTTCCAGATGCGATTCTCAACCGCAAATTTCACAACGGAATGGCACCGACTAGAGATTGGGATTGCAGCTGGCTGCTCTATATCGGTCATCTGGTTCATCCTGGTAATGGAGATGCTACTGAGATCTGCAGAATGCTGTGAAGAAGAAGCAAAGGTGAGATCACCAAAGAAAGCCTTTATGGATGATGTGACCCTACTGACAAGAGATGGAGACACAATGCAAAGTGTGTTGAATCGGCTCGATAAGCTTATCACCTGGGCCAGGATGAAGTTTAAAGCTAAAAAGTCTAGAAGCCTGACTATTAACAAAGGAAAACAGAAGCAACTGAAGTTCACAATTGCAGGGGAGCAAATGCCCACAGTAAAAGAACAACCCGTGAAAAGTTTGGGTCGGTGGTACTCAGGAACTCTGTCTGATAGGAGTCAAGGCGTGGAAATCATGAAGCAGGCTGAAAATGGGCTGAAAGCAATTGACCAGACAAAGCTTCCAGGAAAGCACAAGATATGGTGTCTACAGTTTGCCCTCTACCCTCGATTGGCGTGGCCACTGACAATGTATGAAGTTGCTTTGTCAAGAGTTGAGATGATCGAAAGAAAGTGTAACAGCTACATCAGGAAGTGGCTGGGGCTACCCCGTACCATTAACACGTCATCCCTGTACAGACATAGAGGTGCGCTTCAACTACCTCTAACATCAATCGTGGAGATCTACAAAGCAGGCAAGATTAGAACCGTTTTGATGTTGAGAGAATCAAGGGATAAGGAGATCAGTGGAAAACCTCCAGATGTCAAAACAGCCAGAAAGTGGAAGGCAGAAGTTGCAGCTAACGAGATCATCTCTGCATTGGAGCATGGGGACATTGTCGGTCCAGCGCAACCTGACAGATTAGGGCTAGGTAATGGCGACTTTAGACCTTTCAGGAAAATGTCTCAGCGAGACAGAAGAAAAGCTGCAACAAGACATATGCAAAAGATGGAGGCAGAGAGGCGAGAAATTCATCTCATCCAGTGTAGCCAGCAAGGACAAATGACCAGATGGGAAGAGCAAGTAGTGGAAAGAAAAGTCGGGTGGAGTGACATCTGGAAGTGGAATACATCAAGGCTGAGCTTTCTTCTCCGGTCTACGTATGATGTTCTGCCTTCACCGGTGAACCTTGTCAGATGGAAGGTACAGGAGGACAACAAGTGTAGATGCGGTAAGCTAGGAACCATGAAGCATATTTTGTCAAACTGCAACCTAGCTCTTAACAGATACACCTGGAGGCACAACGAGGTGTTGAAAGTGCTCACGAAAATGGCGACACAACAGGTGGAAGAAGGAAAATATGCCCCCAAGATACAGAAGCATGGACCCACCAAGATTGCGTTCGTTCCGCAAGGAAGCAAGGTTGCCAAAAGAAAGAAAGCGAACGAAGCCATGAAAGACCAGAGCGGAGGCACATGGGAAGTAGCTGCTGACTTAAAAGGCTTTGAGAGATTCTTCCCCATTCCAACTACGAAAAAGCCAGACATTGTGTTATGGGAGGAAAAAGACAAAGAGGTACACTTGGTAGAGCTCACGGTGCCCCACGAGGACAATATCTATGCCGCTCATGAGCGGAAAGAAAACCGTTACGAGGCACTCGTCGAACAATGTGAGGAGGCAGGATGGAAGGCAACCCATTTTCCGGTAGAGGTAGGATGCAGAGGTTTTGTAGCAACAAGCGCCCGTAAGTGGATGAGAGTGGCAGGACTTACTGCAAAGAAAAGCAACGAACTCACAAACTCCCTTCAGGAGACAGCAGAGAAAGCCAGTCATTGGATCTGGTTGAAGCGAGAGGACTCAAGCTGGAATGAATCCTAAAGTTGGCAGCAGAGGAAAACAGTCGAACTAACATGGAGACCTCACATCGGTGAGGGGGCTCGGTGCGTCAGAAAAGCTGTAGAGAGGAAGAGCCCGAAACAGCGACGCATTCTCTCCTGATGATCTCCATGCTAGTCCGGGATACGGAGCGTTCGACGGTGAGCAGTGCATACGGCTGTTTAGACTACGTACGTCATACAACCAATCATCATCATTGCCTTTCTCACCTTAGGTCAGGGTATAGACCAAAGACAAACCCTTTCCACCTTTCCCTATCCTGGACTACAATCAATAGCATGGTAAAAATAATCAATGATTCGGCAATGGACATTACTTTTTTTAAATGGTCAAATATGGATGTTTTTCCAGTATCATTGTACAAAATGGTCAAACTAAGGACTCATCTTGAAAAGGGTCTACTGACGACACTATCTCGGCAAAATCTTACTTATTCAATCAACAGCCATGACCTCTGGCACTCTATCAAGGCAAATATCTCAGCCCACTCAGTTCAAGCAAAAATTCCGTTTTCATAACATAAATATTCAAGTTAATCAAAAGATTATTCAAGAGATAACAAATGTGACACTGAACAGTGTCAAAATCAAAGGTGCGGCAATTTTATGTCTCATAGCCTTGTTAAAAAATGACCGGACAGACCAATTCCAAATTTGACTTTTAAAAAAATATAAAAAATCTCTTTAGGTTTTATGGCACTTGCAACTGCAAGGCCAAATGAGCACCAAGGGGTGGATGTCAACATAGAAGTTCTTACAGGGAATCAGACTTATTCTGCTCACCGCTCTAGCTTCAACAACACAAAGTCTACTTCGACTATCAATCAAGGCACCCCGGATATAGTGGGTCATAAGAGTGTGACAAACATACAAAAGAAGTAAAGGACAAAATGACGATAGTAAGGATTAGGAAAGAAAAAGCAGCATTTCCCTGTTGCAGTAAAGGCACATGAGCATGACATTGATGAATCAGCCCATTTACAATTTACAATTTCTACTGGGCATAAGAACATATTAATGTCCCCCCTTTGGGAATGGCCTAAAGACATTTGACTATGAATTCTTCAAAGTGACAGAAAAAGAAAAATAGACCAGCACTTTTAGAGGTGTTCCATCGGGACCACAATCCCACAGCTCATCACCTTGTCCAGATTTGATTTGATTGAGTAGGTGTTTTACGGCACTATTGACTCAATTTTGGCCATTACAGTGCCAATAGGTTTCACCGCAATAAATCTAGGATCATGTCACGTTTTAGTAAGAGTTTTTCGGCGCTCGCAACTGCACACGGTCATATCATCATCATCATGATAAAAGGACGGACAGACATTTATAAAATTTTTGTAAATATGGTAAAGACTGTATATACTCTGACAACAATAACTATATATAATTTACCTTGTCCAGAAATGCCCGGACGTCGTACAGCAGAACATCCAGCTGACCCACTTCCTTGACGATGACCGCCAGGGTTTTCCCATCACCGCTGCAGTCCAGCGACAAAACGGGCGAGTTCAGAGGGACGTTGTACTGCAGTGGGATGTCCGAGATGACCACTTTCGTCCTTTCTTTCCCCAGCTTCTCATCAATGGCCATCAGCTCCGAGGTTTTGACAGCGTAGAAACCTGCAGAAATTGTCAACGGAGAAATTGACTCGAGATACAGTGGGAATTACAAACCGAAGAAGGGTACCAATTGTAAAGGAGGAAAAGTGGTTGTCTTAGACAGGAGGGCAACTCACACACTGTCATAAAAATGCTTTAAAAAAAAAAAAAGGCAAGGGTTAATGAGAAGTGGCCACTTGTACAGGTGATTGCCTTATTCATAATACAGGTAGCCATTACACAAGACTCAACTGCATAGTCCAACCTGCTCTAATGCTGTCAAAGACAACCACTTCTGCACAAACAATTGTGAGGAAGCGTGGTGGAATCAGGCTCTCGTCAAAATAATCAAAGAGAAGAAACTTGCATTTTTCCGCAGGTTTGTGAATTTTTATCAAATTTTTGTTTTTTGGCTCAACACCTTTCAAGCCCATTAAAGGACTCATTTCTGTGTAGATTTTTCTGAAAAACGTTGATTAAAGGCACAAAAAATGTAAATGTTCAGTTACCACAGACTCTTAAGCTAAGGAAATAACTAATCTTTGGCGGCCATTTTCTCACTAACTTTACCTCTGAAAACAGGTGACCCCCACCTCTTTCATTCTCATATATCCCGACTTGTATTCAAGATCAATTGATACCTTTTTCATCCAAATAAAGACAAGTGAAAAAGCTTTAAGATGATACCAATAACTCTACATGCCCAAAAATTGACGAGAGCCTGATTCCACCACGCTGCCCCCCCCCCTTTTTTTATTTAACTTGATGTAAGTACAAAACAAGTGGAATTTATTAATTATTCATTTAGTATAATTAAATAATAAAACGACATTGTCCAGGGGGGACATTTGTCTCAAACGACTGATTTCCTCCTCCACAATAAGTAGCGATCTTAGACAATTTTGACTGCAGTTTGATACAAGAACCAAACAACACATTTCCATCAAATTAATTTCCTTGGCTTTATCAGAAAACAATTTTATTAAATCTGAGCCAACTAAAGCACAATTTCACACTCCACGCTCTCATGGTAAATTTTACATTTACAAACATACACTATGGCATCATCACTCAAATGTTCAGAACATACAACTTTCATGTAATAAGTATTTTCAGAATATATATATATATATCTTAAAATTATTATTCAATGTCTTTAAGATAAAAATTCTATACAGTATTACATTACACATCACAAACAAATATTTCTTGTTTCCTACATTACATACATGTGAGGCATCATGGTGGAATCAGGCACTCGTCAAAATAAAGAAATCCAAGAAACAAGCATTTTCCCGCCAGTTTGGTCATTTTTATCGAATGTTTTATTTTTGGCTCAACGTCTTTCATGTCCGTATAACAACACATTGTTAGGCTATTTTAATCAAAAAAGTTGATTAAAAACACAAAAAAGGGAAATTTTCAGTTTTCAAGGACTCTCAAGCTATTGAAGTTACCAAACTTCAGCCATTTTCTTGCTAATTTTATCGTGGAAACCAAGTGATCTCCACCTTCTTCAATTGCAGATATCTTGACTTCTATCCAAGATATATGGGAACTTTTTTCATCAAAAGCAATGCAAATGAAGAGGCTTTAAGATTATATTATTGATACCAATAACCCCATATATGCCTAAAAATTAACGAGCGCCTGATTCCACCACGTCATGACACGTGACACATATTGAATATTGTACAAATCACAAACGAATACAACACAATATATAAATATATATATAATATAAAGCTATAATATAAAGCCCAATCCAAACTATTCCACTCCTCAAACAAGTAAGGGCAATTAGTAAAAACGTTACCTTGTTTCGTGCCGTAAAAGAGTAATCCATACTGTGAGGAGCAGGCCAGGAGTTTCAGCCGGCTCGTGGAAACATCTGGATCCGGTGGAGCAATCCGAAATTTGCACAACTGGATGAACTCAAAGTCCTGAAATATATTTAACTTTACAAGCAATTTGCAAAAAATAAAAAATAACCCCAATGTATTCTCAATATTCTTTTAGAGAAGGTGCACCTCGTATTTTGTTACTTGCAACATTTTCCTGCTTTCTAACTCTACATAATGACTTCAGGAAACATTAATCATAGTTATAATCATTACAAACATCTGAACCAGAATTTTCAATGCTTGTTAAGTTTACACACATAATAACCTCACTTTAGGCAGTTTCCCAATTGTTATTGTTGCAGGCAAAATTAGCTACTCCATATCATTTGGTATATTTTGAGCAGTAAAGTCCAGCACTGATCCACACTTGAGTTGCAAGCAGAACAAACATGAGGAACAGTTTCTCACAAGTTATACAAAATGGCCAGGAGAGCATTCTTTCTACAGTCTAGTCTAGTGTTTCGTGACAGTGCACACATAGAGCGAATCATTATTCATTACGAAGTGACTATTTGGACTAAAGTCCGTTTAGATATACAGTCAAACCTGCCCTGACGGCCACCTCTATAAGACGGCCACTTTCCATTTCCCCCCTTTCTCTATTATTTAACTGTGTAAAACGGGCACCTGTCCAACCCGGCCGCGGCCACCATATTTTAACACACAAACCCTATCACACTAAGCAATAACACCTGTCTTAGACGGCCACCTTAGTGACTCCATTACGTTTTGTCATAAATTGTGCATTGGCCCCTGGCGTTGTGGGCGAGCCGTCATAATCAAATCACCTGTCGTTTTTGTAAGATAGTCCCTCCCACTGTTGACCAATAGGTACCCGGTAACAAATTTTCAGCTGCTGGTGAGGTAGGACGTGTGATCCTTCATAACCAATAGCCATATAATAAGCCCTGCCCACAACTCATACACAAATCATAAGTGAGATGAGTGGTCACTGTTTACCCAGTCTGTAACAAAGTAACAATGGACGTCAACATGAACTTGTCACAGAAGCGTCGCTCGTTCTCCGAGTGGTGGCGACCCATGTGTTTGTTTTACCATAGCACCAAAAAAAAAAGAAGAAAAAAACCCCCAGCGAAAACAACAACAATAACAACAATGTTGGCTATCTTCAGTTGGGTACTCAGAAAGGAATGGTTTGTTTTCTTCATCTTGATCAGTCCTGCCTAAGACGGCCACCAGTCTTATACGGCCACTTTTTTCCTTGACAATGGGTGGCCGTCTTACACAGGTTCGACTGTATTTGGACTCTGAATTGAGTCTAGCATGCCGTCCCTTCTGACTTCCGACCCTTGTTCCTAAATATTTCCAGCATTTATGACAAATTTTTCGATTGTAGTGATAACAATCGAGACGTGAGCTTTAATATCCAGTAACTAGATCTATCTAAACTGACCCTCCTTGCATCATTTAGTCTGAACAGAACAACCAAGTCGAGTAGCTATCTCACACTCTCGGCTTGCAGGGGGGAAGAGGTGCTGGGAAGAAGCCACGGCTGTTGATTTTGTGCGATGTGATTTTTAAAAAAATTATGTCCAGAAAAACTATAACACACAACAAAATGAAATTAAACATGTGGAAAGACAAATGGGGGTGGAAGTAATGATGATGCTGTAGTGGTGGTGGAAGTAATGATGATGCTGTAGTGGTGGTGGAAGTAATGATGATGCTGTAGTGGTGGCGGAAGTAATGATGCTGCTGTAGTGGTGGTGGAAGTAATGATGATGCTGTAGTGGTGGTGGAAGTAATGATGATGCTGTAGTAGTGGTGGAAGTAATGATGATGCTGTAGTGGTGGTGGAAAGACCCTGAGTTGTCAGTTACCATGTACTTAGACTTAGACACTGCCATTGGGCAATGAGAGTGCAGTCTTTTCACTTTTGAAAGTCCTAGTAGGTCATTCTAGTTCCAATTCTGGTTTTATGTAAAACCACCAGACGACAGTTATATTACGTAACCTCCTTATACTCACATTATAACTCCATCAAAAGCTCAGTCTGAATAAAGTAAACATTTTTTGGGACCCGGGTCCGAAGAGATAAAACCCATATTCGGACTAGAGTCCGAATTGATAAAAAATGTAATTGGACTCGGGTCCGAATATAGCTGGCCTATTCACTATGTACAAATTTCGGTGCAGGTAGTTTCCACCCCCCAATCATTAGAATCTATTCGCCGGTTTTGGCCCCAAGAGTAGGGGGGTTTCAGGCGCCCCCCTGACCTAATAATAACATGGGGGGGGGTTTACGAAATTTACCATAATTTGATGTTTTGCAGAAGGTTTGATATCTTGGTAAATTTATAGAAACCCTCCCATCTCACAAAAGGTATTATTTTGTAGCATTTTAGTTTTTTGGGGGCCCTGAACACAATTTCGGCATTAAAAACGTCGCAAGCGGCAAAGGGTTAGATCGAGTTTAGATGTTATGTCACATTATGATTCTTTATTTTACACAAAACCTTGAGTGGAAATCTTTGAAGTCAAAACAAACAATTATGGGAAAACATTGTTGGTCAGTCGGGGGAGGAAAGGATTAAAAAAAAAAAAAACCTGGACCGGGATTCGATCCCACTCCTAATATATTAATTTACTCCTTCAAACGCAGACACGCTGTAATTTCGGCCATCAAAACTATCAACTGAATAAGGTAGATTAAGCTTTAATATTTTTACAGCACGGTTTCAACGCAACACCGATATATCTAGATCTAGATGTCGTTGTTTTACATGGGGGGACACCATCAATGAGGCGATCGGCAGAGGGTGGAAAATTTAAAAATTTAAGCTGAAGGAAAATTGGAAACACTGATCTACTAAGACAGAAGAACATGTAGGCCTATAGGATGTACTGTTGCATGGATAATTGTAGCAATTATTCGTACAATTGTATAGCAATTGTTCGTACAATGTAGTACGGATAACCAGACAGAGTTGTTTGCACAATTGTACGGATAACCACGGATTCTAAAATACATGTACTGTCAGTAAGGCACCTTTTGGTTTCGTCTCAAATACAGTCGAACCTGTTAAGACGGCCACCCATTGTCAAGGAGAAAAGTGGCCATATAAGACAGGCGGCCGTCTTAGGCAGGACTGATCAAGAGGAAGACAACAAACAATTCCTTCCTTTCTGAGGTCCCAACCGAAGGTGGTCGCATTGTTGTTGTTTTCTGGGTTTTTTCTTTCTTTTTTTTCTTAAATGTTGCTGCTTTCGTGCAAGGGTGACAATATTTATATATAACGAAATGTGTCAGGCAAGGAGGGCCGAGTGCTATGGTAAAACAAACACATGGGTCGCCACCACTCGAAGAACGAGCGACGCTTCTGTCACAAGTTCAATGTTGATGTCCATTGTTACTTTGTTACAGACTGGGTAAACTGTGACCACTCATCTCACTTACGATTTGTGTATGTTCTGCGCGGGACTTATGGGTTATGAGGGATCCCACGCCTACCTCACCAGCAGCTGAAAATTTGTCACCTATTGGTCAACAGTGGGAGGGGCCTACGCAACATGATTGGTTGGAGGGACAACCTAACAACAACGACGGGATTGGATAATGACGGCTCGCCCACAACGTCAGGGGCCAATGCACAATTTATGAGGAAACGTAATGGAGTCACTAAGGTAGTAAGCCTATTTTTTGCTTTTTGTCAGTCTAGCCATCATATAAGTACGAATAGCCCAGCTGTCTGGCCGTTATTAAAAGTATGGCTAGCCTGCCAGTCTACGGTCATTAACTTCATTAAGTATACTTCATCTAGCCTCTTCCTTTTTTTAAGGGAGTGTATATAGACCCGGTAACCGGGAACAAAGTCACGAAGTATACAGACCCGGTTGGGGACATCTTTTGTGATTTCGGAAAGTTTCAGCGCCCTCTTGGCTCAGGGTAGACCTAGGTTCTTCTAGATCTAGACGGAGAGACATAAATCATAGATCTAGTTTCGAGGCCTCGATCTAAATGAAGATTGCGGATGTCTTTTCGATGAACGATCATTTTTCCTCCGTTTTAGAGTTGGAGGAATCCAAAAGACAAGTTGAAGAAAAGAACAATGTCATAATTTCACTCGAGGAGTCACCCTCTATTTTTCTGTTCTCTCCCCCCTCTTTATATTAGTCTTTGTCTCTCTCTCTCTGTGTATTGCTCGCCTTGTCTTTCTCTTTGTTTATCTGTCTTTCTTTCTCCCCCACCTACTTTCCCACTCTATCTTTCTCTCGTTCCCACCTGTCAACTAGGGCAGGTGATATATTTGCTAGCACTTTCCCCTGTTCTCTACCCCCCTCCTCTCTCTCCTCACAGACACACACACTCTCTCTACCTCTACCGGATCTGGGCGCTGAAACTTTCCGAAATCAGAAAAGATTTCCCCTACCGGGTCTGTATACTTCGTGGTTTTGTTCCCGGTTAGGCAATCGGGTCTGTATACACTTCGTTTCTTTAATACTGACCAAGTATTTTCAGGGATCTAGAATCTAGATTTAAGAAGCCAAGGCCACGAAGAATGCCAAGATTTTAAGAACTTGACTGAAGCCTGAAGATGAAGTTCCGGCACTTTTCGGTAGTTCCAACCCCGCAATTCTTATTCGCCGGTATTGGGCATTGGGCCCAAGAGTAGGGTAGCCCCCTTGACCTAATAAAAAGTATGGTCGGGGTTTCAGAGGGGGAAGTGGCTATCCTCACCCAGGGTGAGAGTAAAAATACGATCGACCTCTCACCCCGGGTGAGACTTGCCACCGTTGGCTTTTCTCACCCCGTGTGAAACAAGGCCTGTTTTTCTTAATTTCGGAATACTTTCTATCGGTGTGGATGATTAAATGGACAAAACCAAAGAAACAATAACGTTATAGCACAAAAGTAAGCTAATTTGATCGTCTACAAAGATGCTATGGCTATTTCACTTTTCGAATCGAGCCGAACTACGCGGGTCGCCATTTTGTTTTGCCCGGAAGTTCTCGCAAGATCTACTCCTCCCCTCTTCTCTCTCTGTGTGTCTCTTTCTGAATACTGTCTATCGGTGTGGACACGATCAAATTTACCAAACAAAGTTAAAAAATGATGTTAAAACACAAAAGTAAATTAATTTGGCCGTCTACAAAGATGTTACGGCTATTTAACTTTTCGAATCGAGCCGAACTACGCGGGTCTCCATATTGTTTTGTCCGGAAGTTCTTGCGCTACTCCTCTCTCTCTCTCTCCACTGCCCACAGTAAAAATTGTACGCTTTAAGGCTAAGTAATAGTAATGGAACATTTGTTCACGGCACAGAATTCTACAATTTTTCTGTTATCACAGTGTAGAATTCTGTGGTTCAGGACGAACGCAAAATTGGTTGGCCTAGATCTATGCTATAACGGTGAACGCACACCGGGTGAGAATAGCCAAAAGACTCGCCTGTGTGAGAATAAAGGTAGCCCATGCCCCCCTGAATTTTACCAATATTTGATGTGTTGCAGTTTTGCTAGGTTTGATACCTTAGCTCGCCGCACATCAAACGTATAGATCTAGATCTAGGCTCAAATAAAAGGGGGGGGGTGGGAACTACCGAAAAAGCTCCAAGTTCCAGCTATTCAAGTATTCAGAGTAGGAAGTGGCTATTCTCACCCGGGGTAAGAATAAAAATATACGACCTACCTCTCACCCCGGGTGAGACTTGCCAGCGTAGGCTATTCTCACCCGGTGTGAAACAAAACCTGTTTTTCCTCATTTTGGAATAGGCTACTGTCTATCGGTGTGGATGTTCAAATTGATAAAAGCCAAGAAAAAATTACGTTAGCACAAAAGTAAGCTAATTTGATCGTCTTCAAAGATGCTATGGCTTTTTCACTTTTCGAATCGAGCCGAACTACGCGGGTCGCCATTTTGTTTTGCCCGGAAGTTCTCGCAAGATCTACTCCTCCCCTCTCTCTCTGTCTCTTTCTGAATACTGTCTATCGGTGTGGACATCAAATTGACCTAGATCTAGATCTAAACAAAGTTAAAAAATGATGTTAAAAAACAAAACTAGATCTAGATCTAGATCTAAATTAATTTGGTTGTCTACAAAGATGCTGCGGCTATTTAACTTTCCGAATCGAGCCGAACTACGCGGGTCGCCATTTTGTTTTGCCCGGAAGTTCTCGCGCTACTCCTCTCTCTCTCTTTCTCTCTCTCCACTGCCCACAGTCAAAATTGCACACTTTTAGGCTAACACTAACAAGTAGTAATAGACTCTAGATCTAGAATGTCTGTTCACAGCACAGAATTTTATAAGGCCGGCACTATTTCTCCGAACGTTCGGGAAAATAAAGCTACGCACTATTTCTCCGAACGTTTGGGAAAATACAGCTGGGCACTATTTCTCCGAACACTCTGAAATCACATCCTTTCCGCAAATTTCGGATATTATATAGATCTATAATTATAGTATAGGCCTACCAAAGATTGTTCGTATACAATATGGTTCAATCGGTCCCAAAAATGTCCGCATAAATATTTATAAAGAAATGCTACAGTTCCAAACAGTTTTTCGCTACAGATATGACGTGTTGCCTATTAAGGGTGCTGCTCTTAAACTTAATGTGTTGTGTTCACTCGTGTGCTGTCTAGATCTAGATATACGGAGGGTTATTGATAACGACACATAGAACTAGCATGGATATCTACGTTTGTCGCGGCCGCGACCAATCAATCGTGGCTCGATTTTTTTGCATTTTTTGGTCCCCAAATCGGAGAATAAAAGTCAAATAAAAAAATAAATAAATAAGAAAGAAACCGAACCTCTTTACTTTTGAAACAAAGTTCACCTCTAGCTTCACTTCGTCTCTTTATCACTTGTTGTCACCACGTTGATTTGTTGAATACGTTACAGTTACTTTTATTTTTCCCTCTTTGTGGTGTTTTATTTTGTTAATGTGTATTTTTTTTTCTTTCTTGTTATTGTTCTGATGTGTTGTTTTTCTATCAATTTTTTTAATGGGGAAAAAGGGGTAGCGTACGTTCCACCAAAACCGATCACATGTACTGACACTGGCAGGCCCCTTAAATGTGTGCGATTCCATAATGTACTTGTAATATCCTGTACTTTGTTTTAAAATTACGCACATTTAGTGTTAAAACAGCCAATCTTCTTCGGACAGGTGGACTCTCGCCCTTATTTGTTAATTTTTGTGGTTGTTTATGGGCTGTTCTAATTTTGATTTTATTCTATTTTGAAACCTTTCTTTTTCACATTTTTACACTCATCTAAAAATCTCTAGTCTAGCCAGACTAGCTCTTGAAAATTGAAATAGATATAGACCTAAAAATTTGCTCCTGTGTGGGTGTGTGTATCATGCATGTGCGTGTGAGAGTGTGTCTGTGTGTGGTAGTAAGTGTGTAAGTGCAGAGTGAGGAGCGTGCATGTGTTTGTTTTTCTGGCTTTATTCAGTCTCTGTCAGTTTCACTCATTCATTCAATTCCCGTGTTTTCTCCCGCGGCTCATCCCCGTCCGCATGACTTTCACACCCCACCCCCTCCCTCCAGGCACACACATAGAAAATCTCACTCATTCCGTTGCACTCACCCTGCGAACCATGGACAATAATATAGGCAAAACACTGCCTTAGCCGCATTCCTTTCGTTCGTGAGCTGTGGACCAGGCCAGGGGGGTCGGTGTCGTCGTCTTGTAATTGCTGTCGCCTGTGGATACACTCGTACATTCTTCCTTTCACATGCTCTTTCACTCATTCTGTCTCTCCATCCACAGTTCAGCTCGTCATACGTTCAAAAGTTGCCCACTGATCATGTTTAGTTAGTGTGTGTATAAGTTTGTGTGTGTAGCCGGTGCTTTTCGGTAGTTCCCACCCCCCTTATTTGAGCCTGACCTACTTCTAGATCTAGATCTATACGTTTGATTCGCGGTGAGCTAAGATATCAAACCTAACAACAGCAAAACATTAAATTGTGGTAAAATTCAGGGGGGAACCCCCCTTCCTATTTTTGTTAGTCAGGGGGGCAAGCCCCCCTGAAACACCCCTACTCTTGGGGCCAAAACCCGTGAATAACAATTGCGGGGTGGGAACTACCGAAAAAGCGCCGTGTAGCCTACATGTGCATGATGGTGGTGAGTGTGTGGTGGGTGTTACTGAAGGTTGTCTGTACGCGGGCTTGCCATTTGGTGTTCCTTCCCAATCCCAGACCAGAGGCAGAATGAAAGTTGGCGCAGAACTCTCGCAATAAATAGGCAAAAAATCACGAGACCGGAAGCCGGAAACCGTTCGGAGAAATAAAGATCGGCACTATTTCTCCGAACGTTCGGAGAAATAGTCACTTCGATTTTATAATTCTGTTTCACAGTGTAGAATTCTGTGGTTCAGGTCAGGGTGAACGCTTCACCGGTTGGCCTAGGCTATAACGGTGAACGCCCACCAGGTGAGAATAGCCAAAAGACTCGCCTGAGCTGCTATTCTCACCCGGGGTGACAATTATAAATTATAGAATAGAGGTGGCCTTTACTGCGCAGAGTATCTCGCGGGCCAAAGTCAAAGCAGGAACGTTTGATGAAATAAGTTGAAATAAACCAAAACATAATTAGATTTCTAGATCTAGATCTAGATATAGATCTAGATCTAGAGTAAATTACACTGTAGATTTCTAGAATAGAAATCTAGATCTAATATATCTAGATCTAGATCTAGATCTAGATTCTAGATCTAGATCTAGATCTAGAATCTAGATCTAGAATCTAGAACTAGATCTAATATCGGTGATCTTGTAGTTCCGTTCGTTAAAGTCCACGATCCATTTGTTTACATTAAGAGGAGAAATCCAGAAGTCTTGAAGACCAACTATTTGAATTAGGCTACACAAAGAGCAGGGATGCAACCTAGAATCTAACTGCAAAACATCAAATTAGGATAAAATTCAGGGGGGCATGCCCCCACCTCCATATTTTTTTAGGTCAGGAGGGCAAGCCCCCCTGAAACCCCCCTGCTTGACTTTAACGAACGAAACTACAAAATCGCCCTAATATCTAGATCTAGATCTAGATCTAAATCTATATCCAGTGCTAAAATCAGAACTTGGGTCACTTTGTTGTTGGTTCACTTACCTTCACGTCTCTTTCGGGTGGTTCGACGGACATATTCCGCAAGCGGTCAGGAGTCAGTAGCTGTTTCTTTAAGAAAATGACATAGAAATGCGATCGTCAGATAGCTAAATAAGCCCTTTCTACTTCAATATCTCAAATATTTAGCCTGTAACATTTACTCAATCGCTTTGGAATGGAATCTGTCCGGTCCAATTTGGCGTTGGCCGCCTTGATCTAGAGGAAACTCACCGAACGAAACTGAAACAAAATCAAGCAATTGTCAGGATTTTCGTAGTGGTGATGATAGGCCTACACTTTTAATTTTTTTTTCTTCTAACGGTAATGTTTTAGGCTGATACTTGCAATATTTTGGAGAAAGTTTACTAGATATCTAGTAATCTAGTTAATAACATTAAGATTGAATAATTTTTTTAACTGGCATAATATTCCATGTATCTTTGAAAGAAGTCAGACCAACATAGTGAAGCCTATAAGGCGACTAGGCGATACAATTCGGCATATAAAACTCTGTTCCCGTTCATGTTTTTGGGGATTCTAATAGACGTTTTAAAAGAAAAACCTACGAAGCACAAAAACAATTAATATTAAATATTGAGGGGAAAAAGGCATGTTTACAATGCAACTGTTCTTTACTTTACTTTTTCACGAACATAAAAACAATGCAAATAGGTAAACAGCTGCTGCATAAGGTTTTTTTCCCATATTCAAACCATTCGCCTCAATTACTTATTCCTTCCTCGAGGATGTCGAGGGGATAGGAAAAAGCACAACTTTGTTTTCTGTCATAGTATTCGCCTCAATAAAATTCCGAGAAGCATCTCGAAAAATGACAGAAATAAACTAAGATAAGTAGGCTAATCAGAGCCAGGAACGCACCGGTCCCAATGAAGAACCATCCAAGGCCCCTCCCTCTTCTAAACACTCCCAGAAAAGGTACGCGCCCGTCTTGAGATAGTCTCTAGTCTCAAGACCAACTGAACGCGATCTCAAGATAATCCCAAGATGATCTCAAGACCAAAATCCGGACCGCTGAGTTTAAAATCTCAACAAACCGTGATATCGCCTGAAGTCAGAACGAGACTGAAAATTGTCGGTGGATCGGAGATGAAGGTACTCAACGCTAAAAATAAAAGGGTGTCAAAGTCAAACTTGCAAATCTGACTTCAGAATCTTATTCTTCAGCGTTAAATTTGTAGTGGGATTTGATACGAAACACTACTATCAACGTTTGATGTAGTAATGTTAAATTCTTTGCTTGAGCCAGCTAGTTTTTTGGGGTTTTTTTTTTCAAAGACAGTATGCGGTTGAATTGTATTGAATGCTGAGGAAAAATCAATGTATACAACGGTACTTTTTGTTGATTTTTTTCCTCAGTGTTCGAATTACAATTCAACAACATTTTTGTAATTTAAAAACAATCGAGTCAATTGTTATCATTTTATCGCAGCATGGGTCCTGGAATTTTTGACAGGCAGACCATAATAATATGTTAATCTGAACAATACAAAATCTGACTATCCTGCAAAAACAGAGAGAGTATAGAAATTCATTTGTATATGAGGTTACTGAAAACAGTGCTATAAATAAAGCATTACAGATAGATAGATAGATAGATAGATAGATAGATAGATAGATAGATAGATAGATAGATAGATAGATAGAGAGAGAGAGAGAGAGAGAGAGAGAGAGAGAGAGAGGGGGGGGAGAGCGAGAGAGAGAGAGAGGGGGGGAGAGAGAGAGAGCGAGAGAGAGAGAGAAAGAGAGTGGGGGAGAGAGAGAGAGGGGGGGGAGAGAGAGAGCGAGAGAGAGAGAGAGAGAGAGAGAGCGAGAGAGAAAGAGAGAGAGAGAAAGAGAGGGGGGGGAGAGCCTTTCGTGGGGTGATATTGCCCGTCGCATTTTCGTGTTCTGGTTGTTTTTTTTTCTATAAGGGGCAGGGGGCCTACTATATCTAAAGCAATTGAATATATGATGTGTCCTCGTTCATACGTATATACCGTAGTGTAATCGACAGAGAACTATGTAAATTCCTTTGAAAGGTGCGTGTGGGAACTTCTCCCGCCGAAGATGTCATTGTTTGCACCATATTTTTTTTCGCCTTTGTTTCTTTAGAGAAACACTTAAAACTATACAGGCTGCAGCAACTTCACTTTGGGTGGGAGCCATTTTGATAGTCTGCTGTAGTGTGTGGGCACAAATGAAATCGCTCACGGATCCGATCGTCTGTTCATTTTGAGACCATTTTGAGACCATCTTGAGACCATCTCGAGATCTTCATGAGATCGGGAACTGCATAGTGAGTGGCGGGACTCTTGTGTTAGCGAAGGCTTGCGTACAAACCCCCCCCCCCCCCCCAAACCAAAAAATAATTAATTAAAATCATTTTTAAAAAAATCAATTAACAGCTAGGCTGTATCGGAAAATCAAGTATAATGGACACACTGAATGACGATAATATATAACTATATTATGCCTTTAATAGTTAATATGCACTTACACTACAATATAATACGGGGTGCCCACTACGGATGGGATCGGCCGATCGGCCCGATCGCCCGACTCGTTCGCTTAGTTAAGTATTTACGGGAATAGTTTTTTTTTTTTAATGGATAGGTAGGACCCATACAGATTTTCAATGCAACTTGAACAATAAATCTTGACGTTACTGTCACATTAATTTGGTAGAGGATTTGAGCTCCTGAAGAACAAGAGCGCGGTCGTGAGCAGCCTGGTCATACAAAACGAGGACAGAGAAGTGAATAAATCGTTGAAACAACGTCTGAATGATCTCAGAATATCCCCGGAAGAGGCTCAACCCGACTGAGCTAAGATCCGCTGTCTCCAAGACGACAACCCGCGGGACACCTGACCCCCGACAACATCCCTCGAACCTTCCCGAAACATCGACGTCATGTGTTGAGACTCAGAGAAAACCGTTTCTCGCCTTCAACTTGGCCATTCGCTGAGCAGACGGCAGTTTTTTTTGTTTTTTTTTCAGGGAGGACAAACTAAAGGGGACATTATCTGAAGTACCAGGAGGAGGCGGTGGCCCTGGCAAGAAGTTTGATTGAAGAAACACTCTTGTCGGGGCCACGATAGGGGCAACAGATGATTTATTTTGATGTACTGATTCCTTTGTCATCTATACTTGTTGGTATCATACTCATTCAACAACAACAACAACAAAAACAACAGCAACAACAACAATAACAACAACAACAACAACAACAATAATAATAACAACAGCAACAACAACAACAATAACAACAACAACAACAACAACAGCAACCAATGAATCAATAAATTATAAAACGCCAACTGCAGCAATGGCAAATTTAAGAGCAAATACAACTGTCTACCGTTATCGAATACCGCCATTGTCATTAGTATTTGTTGACGTTTTACGTCCCAATCGAAACCATTTCAGATAATTTGGGAATTGTTTGCGATGTGTGATGTGGCGTGGCGTGGCGTGGCGTCGCGTGGCGTATTGCATGTGTAGAGGTGTGGTATTATAGATACAAACACACACACACACACACACACACACACACACACACACACACACACAC